TGTGTAACAGAATTTGGTACAAAAATAAATTTGCCAAAATTAGCACCCAAAAATAAATTTGCCAAATGATATTTATGGAGATCTGGCAACACTGATATTGAGTAGTTAAGTTTCTATGGTATGAAATTGTCATTCGAAATCTAAGTAGACATGCAAAGGATTGTATGATTTTGATTTTTCGAGAAAATAAAAAGAATTATATTGAAAAACGATTAAACTAACACTGTGTGTGTGTTTTTGTAAACCGCGGGTCATTACATTGGCGATTGAGGTAAATATTTAATTGAGCTGGAGGAATGCAAGATTAATTTCATCAAATTGTAAGGAAAATTAAAATTCCTTTCCATTAAATTGCAGCGAAAGACATTAAATTGCCGGCATTGACTGATAATAGTCATCTGCGGGAAAAAGGAAAGAGGAAACATTCAATTATATATATATATATATATATATATATATATATATATATATATATATATATATATATATATATATATATATATATATATATATATATATATATATATATATATATATATATATATATATATATATGCCAAATCTCCAAAATATCATTTGGCAAATTTTATTTTTGTACCAAATTCTGTTACACATTCCAAATTTGAAGACTATCTGTAACCGAAAGATATGTGCATACAAAATATGATTTTTTTGCAGGTACCCCTGATTCTGATGCCACATATCCAGTTACCAATGGGATTTCAAAAATTTGTATAGCCTATGTTACTTGCAGGCGATGTTGTATATTTGAAAATGTTCAGGAAAATCTGTTTAGCGGTTTTCAGTCAATAACTTACAAACAAACAATCAAACGTACATTTTCCTCTTTTATAGATACAGATATGTTCGCTTTCGAGTAATTATTTTTTGTGAAACCCATTTGTATGAACTCTGCTGGAACCCAAACTTTCTCTTTTGTCTGCAGGCAGGTCAAGTTCGAAGATGGGCTATATCGGTCCACGATATCGTATATCCCCCATATAACGGTACCCCCCGATATTCGGTATTTTTATGATTTTACCCACATTGTTCATCGGAATTGTCTGAAAATCCACACAAGGAGTTCCTTGTGGGTACTTTATACCTCGGCAGATAATTATCTATATAGGTCCACGATATCGTATAGGCCTCATATAACGGTACCCCAGATATTCGATATTTTGATTTTTTTAGCCATATTTTTCAACGGAATGATCACAAGGGGTTCCTTGTGAGCACTTTACCCCCCAAAAGAAAATTGTCTATATAGGTTAACAATAACGTATAGCTCCCATAACGGTACCCCGCGATATTCGGTATTTTGTTGATTTTAGCCACATTTACCAATCGTATTGTCTGAAAATCCACACACGGAGTTCTTTGTGAGCACTTTACCCCTGAAACGGAATTGTCTATATATGTCCACAATATCGTATATCCCCCATATAAGGGGAGTACCCTTATATTCGGCATTTTGATGATTTTAGCCACTTTTTCCAATGGAATTATCTGAAAATCCACACAAGGAGTTCCTTGTGAGTACTTTACACGCATGCATAGATTTTTCTTTATAGGTCCACAATATCGTATATCCCCCATATATATATATATATATATATATATATATATATATATATATATATATATATATATATATATATATATATATATATATATATATATATATATATATATATATATATATATATATATATATATATATTCTTTCACACCGTCACTTGAGACAAATTGAATGTTTGAATATTTCCGCTTTTTCGTATCTGTGTATCCAAAACCCGGCTGCTTCCGTTTCAAACCTTTCCACTTCTATTTGCGGGTAAACACATTTTATCTTGTTGATATCGACAGATACATTGGGCAATTTCATCGTTTCTGTCTTCCTATTTATCTGTTCGTGGGCATGACACCTTTCGATGGTTTCTGTGAGTGCATATTCGTTTTTTAGAAGTCGTTTCTTTAAATCATTTAGTGTCCAATTATCAATTAGCTTGTCTTTTAGCTTTCCGGGAATGCTGTATACAACCTCTTGGAGTTGTGTGCCACCCAAATACAGAGGTTTGTTCCTCTTCTTCGCAGTGTCCTTTATTTCTTCTGTATCCAAATATATGGAAAATGAACGATACATTTTTTCCACTCTGTGCGCAGGAAAGGTGATATACCTGCCGAGCTCATCTCTTTCCACAACCTCGGACTCACGCCGTCCAACGTCTTTACAATTAAATGTAATGCATTCCAACGACAATTTAATATCCCTAGTTCTCATTATCAGCAATTAAATGTCGCAGATGACTATTATCAGTCAATGCCGACAATTTAATGTCTTTCGCTGCAATTTAATGCAAAGGAATTTGAATTTTCCTTGCAATTTGATGCAATTAATCTTGCATTCCTCCAGCTCAATTAAATATTTACCACAATCGCCAATGTAATGACCCGCGTTTTACAAACACACACACAGTTTTTAGTTTAATCGTTTTCAATTTAATTCTTTTTATTTTCTCGAAAAACCAAAATCATACAATCCTTTGCATGTCTACTTAGATTTCGAATGACAATTTCATACCATAGAAACTTAACTACTCAATATCAGTGTTGCCAAATCTCCAAAAATATCATTTGGCAAATTTATTTTTTGGTGCTAAATTTGGCAATTTTATTTTTGTACCAAATTCTGTTACACATTCCAAATTTGAAGACTGTATCTGTAACCAAAAGATATGTGCATACAAAATCTGATTTTTTTGCAGGTACCCCTGATTCTGACGCCACATATCCAGTTACCAATGGGATTTCAAAAATTTGTATAGCCTATGTTACTTGCAGGCGATGTTGTATATTTGAAAATGTTCAGGAAAATCTGTTTAGCGGTTTTCAGTCAATAACTTACAAACAAACAATCAAACGTACATTTTCCTCTTTTATAGATACAGATATGTTCGCTTTCGAGTAATTATTTTTTGTGAAACCCATTTGTATGAACTCTGCTGGAACCCAAACTTTCTCTTTTGTCTGCAGGCAGGTCAAGTTCGAAGATGGGCTATATCGGTCCACGATATCGTATATCCCCCATATAACGGTACCCCCCGATATTCGGTATTTTTATGATTTTACCCACATTGTTCATCGGAATTGTCTGAAAATCCACACAAGGAGTTCCCTGTGGGTACTTTATACCTCGGCAGAGAATTATCTATATAGGTCCACGATATCGTATAGCCCTCATATAACGTTACCCCCACGGTATTCGGTATTTTCATGTTTTTAGCCATATTTTTCAATGGAATTGTCTGACAAAAGGAGTCCCTTGTGGGCATTTTACCCCCTCAAAAAGAATTGTCTATATAGGTCCACGATATCGTATATCCCCCATATAACTGTACCCCCCCGATATTCGGTATTTTGATGATGTTAGCCACACTTTTCAATAGAATTGTCTTAAAATCCACACAAGTAGTTCCTTGTGAGTACTTCACCCCCTGAGAGAGAATTGTCTACAGATCCACGATATCGTATATCCCCCATATAACGGTACCCCCCGAAATTCGGTATTTTTATGATTTTACCCACATTTTTCGTCGGAATTGTCTGAAAATCCACACAAGGAGTTCCTTGTGGGTACTTTATACCTCGGCAGAGAATTATCTATATAGGTCCACGATATCGTAAAGGCCTCATATAACGGTACCCCCGATATTCGATATTTTGATTTTTTTAGCCATATTTTTCAACGGAATGATCACAAGGGGTTCCTTGTGAGCACTTTACCCCCAAAAGAAAATTCTCTATATAGGTTAACAATAACGTATAGCTCCCATAACGGTACCCCGCGATATTCGGTATTTTGTTGATTTTAGCCACATTTACCAATCGTATTGTCTGAAAATCCACACACGGAGTTCTTTGTGAGCACTTTACCCCTGAAACGGAATTGTCTATATATGTCAACAATATCGTATATCCCCCATATAAGGGTACTCCCCTATATTCGGCATTTTGATGATTTTAGCCACTTTTTCCAATGGAATTATCTGAAAATCCACACAAGGAGTTCCTTGTGAGTACTTTACACGCATACATAGATTTTTCTTTATAGGTCCACAATATCGTATATCCCCCCATATATCGGTACCTTCTTATATTAGACATTTTAAAGATTTTAACAGTTTTTTTAATGGATTTTATTTTTTTGAAAATTTTCTAATTCGTTTCAAAAGGTGGAGGGTACTGCTTCTTTACTTGTTTTTATTGAAGTGGTTACTGAAAATGGTAAATAACATGTTCGTCAGCAAACCTTAGTAGCTGGAAAGCTTACTAATTTCTTTTGTAGCGACCAATGCTTTTATCGGAATATTATTTTTAATTTTAGACAAAAAAGGCATCCTCATCAGCGAACGAAAACAAACGAAGCAATTAACGTACTGGCCACAAGTCACAAACTGTAGAATTTTTGTCAATCGTTTTGTACTACAAACCATGGCTCAACCAGAGAGGTTGCTTAACATCAAGAAACTAGAAAAATGCGGAAAACCCGCAAAACATAATAGGAATGTTTCGATTATAATAAGATAGTAGGACAATGTATCCCAAAGTTGCACAATCTGTTGCCCATTATATATATATATATATATATATATATATATATAAATATATATATATATATATATATATATATATATATATATATATATATATATATATATATATATATATATATTCTTCCCACTTATTTTTCATGGAGCCAACTTCTTTCACACCGTCACTTGAGACAAATTGAATGTTTGAATAATTCCGCTTTTTCGTATCTGTGTATCCAAAACCCGGCTGCTTCCGTTTCAAACCTTTCCACTTCTATTTGCGGGTAAAATATCCAGTATATATAAATATCCAGATACATTGGGCAATTTCATCGTTTCTGTCTTCCTATTTATCTGTTCGTGGGCATGACACCTTTCGATGGTTTCTGTGAGTGCATATTCGTTTTTTAGGAGTCGTTTCTTTAAACCATTTAGTGTCCAATTATCAATTAGCTTGTCTTTTCGCTTTCCGGGAATGCTGTATACAACCTCTTGGAGTTGTGTGCCACCCAAATACAGAGGTTTGTTCCTCTTCTTCGCAGTGTCCTTTATTTCCTCTGTATCCAAATATATGGAAAATGAACGATACATTTTTTCCACTCTGTGCGCAGGAGTGGCATCCCAAAGGAAAGGTGATATACCTGCCGAGCTCATCTCTTTCCACAACCTCGGACTCACGCCGTCCAACGTCTTTACAATTAAATGTAATGCATTCCAACGACAATTTAATGTCCCTAGTTCTCATTATCAGCAATTAAATGTCGCAGATGACTATTATCAGTCAATGCCGACAATTTAATGTCTTTCGCTGCAATTTAATGCAAAGGATTTTGAATTTTCCTTAAAATTTGATGCAATTAATCTTGCATTCCTCCAGCTCAATTAAATATTTACCTCAATCGCCAATGTAATGACCCGCGGTTTACAAACACACACACACAGTTTTTAGTTTAATCGTTTTTCAATTTAATTCTTTTTATTTTCTCGAAAACCCAAAATCATACAATACTTTGCATGTCTACTTAAACTTCGAATGACAATTTCATACCTAGAAACATAACTACTCAATATCAGTGTTTCCAGATCTTCACAAATATCATTTGGCAAATTTATGTTTTGGTGCTAAATTTGGCAAATTTGTTTTTGTACCAAATTCTGTTAAGGGTCTGTCAGATAGAATACGTTGTGTCCGTTGCGGCAACGTATTTGACTGACGTGACGTACAAAAAGTATAGACTCGCCACAACAAATCCGTCGTCGTACATAAGAAAACAGCTGATTTGCATTGGTGGTAAAATTCAGTTTGAAAACATACAACATTTTCTGTTATTTGAAAATGGAAACCTCACAATTAATGAACATTAAATTATTAATCCTAACGCTGTTCGAGGCCGGCGAATGCTTGAAAAAATTGTACGGGCGTAGAAGATATTGGGTGCGACCACTATTGCGGAATCGCGACACGCATGGATTTTTCGCCACCACATTTTGCTTCCCAGACGAATTCCAGAAAACCATAAGGATGGAAAAGAACACATTCGATCTCCTCCTGACTTTCGTAAAAGAGAGGTTAAGGAAGCACTCCAATAGGTCATCAATTTCACCGGAATGTCGACTTTTTATGACCCTTGCGTAAGTTCTTATACATATGGATGTACATGTAATCGTATGAGTCCGGATAACATTCTCAAATACTTCCATAAAATTTAAGATATTTAGCTCATGACGGAAGTAAGCAGATATTTTCTGCTGCCTTTAAAATTGGGGTGTCAACTATGAAAGGAATAGTATCAGAAACCTGCGAAGTGCTTTGGGAAATACTTGGCCCAATATATTTATCAGTCCCAAAGGAAAATGAGTGGAAGCGAATCGCCATTGATTTTTACACAATGTGGGATTTACCCAATTGTGTTGGCGCTATTGATGGCAAGCACATCAATTTAACTTGCCCATCGAACTCTGGCTCCCAGTTTTACAATTATAAACGGAACTACTCCATTGTCCTTCTGGCAGCTTGTGAAGCTAATTACACATTTACTTCCGTGGATATTGGTGCGTTTGGTTCCCAAAGTGACGGTGGAGTTATGTGGAACTCAAGATTCGTTCAACAGTTGTATAAGGGCCAATTGGATCTACCAACAGAAGAAATACTACCCGGTACAAATAAAAGTTTCCCGCACTATTTCGTTGCAGATGCCGCGTTCCCATTAAAACCATTTTTAATTAGACCTTATCCAGGTTTGCATGAGCAATTCATATTTTCCTCTTCGATTTTATGTAACAAAATTTTTTTTAAGGAAGTAACTTGCCGCCTGAAAAGGAAATATTTAATAAACATTTGTCACGGGCCCGTAGGGTAATAGAAAATGCTTTTGGTATTTTGGCGAGCCGATGGAGGATTTTGTTGTGATCCCTACAAATGAGCCCAGCATCCGCAGAGAAAGTTATTAAAGCCACGGTACTTCTTCACAATTTCCTCAAAATGCATGATGGCATTTATTGTCCGCCAGAATATGTCGACCGGACGACGGCATTGTATTGATAAATGGTCTGTGGCGCAACGAAGTGCCTGTCCCTTTACAGAGAGCCAGGAGAACAGCTTCAAATAATGCAGCAAAATGCGCATTCAAATTAAGGGATGAACTCATGAGCTATGTCGTTTCACATCCAATTCGGCAATTTTCCCGGCAGTAACTTCATATTTGTTTAATAAAAAATACTGATGAAAGCATGTATCAAACATTTAGTATTTCTTGTCATATTTTAATTTACTAAAAAATAAATCATTTCATTATACTAAAAACTAAAAATAATTTATTTTATTAAATAAGAAAGCAAGAAGAAAGAACATTGTTTAAAATTCATTCATTGTTTAAAATTTGAGACAATGTTGAGCAATTTGATTTTAATTCTATATTGCTCGTCCTTTGAGTGCTTCAGCAAATACTCGTCTAGTACTCTTAAAAAATCGGCAATACGAGACACTGGTGGGGGACTTTGACTCTGTGATACCTGTTTTTTTTTATCCAGTCAGACACAGAGTCACAAAGGTGATCAAACCTGTCTTCTTGTCTCTTTCTTTTATCGCAACGCTTTTCCACTTGTGGTGTGGATTGATCAAAAGGACGTGGCAGCTCGCTGCAAAAAAAATCTACATTTTCAATTGTTTCGTCTTCCCCCGACAACTGCGAACTTCCATATATGTCGCCACTCTCGAACTGCGTACTTAAAAATGAATCTTCACTCGACCATTGCATATTTGAAGAAGTTCTGGGATATAAAATCGATTAGGAATCTCCAAAAAAAAAAAAATATCAAGGAACTCTGTAATTACCTGCGAGGAACGACATGTCGTTGCAAAAAAGACATCGCATTCATATACCGCCAACCACTACCTTCTTTTGCACCACTTCCCGACGGAAGCTTACTTCCGTTAACCTCCTTTACATATCTGTCCCGAAGGGACCTCCAGCGACTTTGGCATTGTTCGACTGCAATATAATACAAAATACCTCCTGTCAATATCTACCTTAAATATACAATTTATGAAAATAAGTCACTAGTCGCGTTTGTGGAAGCTGCCACAGCTCTCCAAGCTTTTTCCTTAGCAATTTTGTTGCGATATAGCACTGTTTTTTTTTTTTTTTGTCAAAAAGACAAGGGTGAATCTGCACCGCTTCTATTAATAAAAATTCCATTTCAAAAACCTAACATAAAATATTCACAAATAACAGCTGATTTCTGTGCCGGACTTGCCGCATGTCAAAAGTTGAGAGTAGACCAACTTTAATCCGTTACGGCAACTTACACGTTGTGAATGTGACATTCTTCATTAAAATATAAGCAACCCAATCGGCTGTCAGTCTAATACGTTGCCGCAACGGACACAACGTATTCTATCTGACAGACCCTTTACACATTCCAAATTTGAAGACTATCTGTAACCGAAAGATATGTGCATACAAAATCTGATTCTGATGCCACATATCCAGTTACAAGTGGGATTTCAAAAATTTGTATAGCCTATGTTACTTTCAGGCGATGTTGTATATTTGAAAAATTTCAGGAAAATCTGTTTAGCGGTTTTCAGTCAATAACTTACAAACAAACAATCAAACGTACATTTTCCTCTTTTATAGATACAGATATGTTCGATTTCGAGTAATTATTTTTAGTGAAACCGATTTATTTTTTGGTGCTAAATTTAGCAAATTTATTTTTGTACCAAATTCTGTTACACATTCCAAATTTGAAGACTGTATCTGTAACCGAAAGATATGTGCATACAAAATCTGATTTTTTTGCAGATACCCCTGATTCTGATGTCACATATCCAGTTATAAGTGGGATTTCAAAAATTTGTGTAGCCTATGTTACATTCAGGCGATGTTGTATATTTTAAAATTTTCAGGAAAATCTGTTCAGCGGTTTTCAATCAATAACTTACAATCAAACAATCAAACGTACATTTTCCTCTTTTATAGATACATATATGTTCACTTTCGAGTAATTACTTTAAGTGAAACCCATTTGTATGAACTCTGCTTATGTTTTCTTTCCAGTTGTCAATTTCAGCCAGATTCGAACAGGCAGTTGCTGGAACCCAAACTTGGATAACATTTTCTCCTTTTTGATATTAACAAAAATTGATCGACCAAACTCGACTATGTCTACTTTAGCTCGATTAAACTATAAATTTCGCTTTAGGAATCTGTGTTTCCCAACTTATATATAATATAATATAACTAAAGGACCCCTGATCTGATCTTAACGATCCAGACAAATTCTCTTATTAGAAAAGGGTGAAATCCATAAAAATGTGAAATTTGAACATTTTCATTTTGACTTTTGGAATGTACAATAGTAATGTTTTATTTTGCATTTTTCTTTTATATTATAATATAATGTGTAGTATTTTTAGGAAATTAAAAGCGGCAACGGCAAAACAGCTATTAACAAAACAATTGCTGCGTAGCCCGGAAGTGTAGTACCGAATCATGTGGTGGCGAAACTGAATATATGATGTCGAAGTAATTTAACGCGGTCATACCATAGTTAACGAATAATTACTTTTTTCAAAATCGCTAAAAAATCAAAAAAAGAGGCTACCTCATTGCAAAGATATTAAAATCCGAAAAAAATCGAGAAAAAATTTCATTGAAATCGAATTTCAAAATTATAGTACACTCTATTGACAAACTTCGTAAGGACCTTTAAACATTTGCTATAAATAATCCGCAATAAGTTGAAGATTTTCTTTTCAATGTGTTTTTCTTTTTTTAAATGAATGCGCAATACGATATTAAATAGCGATCTTTCATGTCTAAAATTGGCATCTAGCTTTCAATTCAGGGACCTACATCGTGTTTCAGCTGGAAGATGCAAACACATTTAAACAAACAAAAATTAACGACAAAGCATTATGGGGCTCATTTCAAAACGTGGACCTACTTCGTTCACATAACAATAATTCGTCCAATGAGAACTCAAAATGCAAAATTCATTGGGACTGTAATCAGTGAAATACTGACCTTTTGTAGGTCATGATATGGGTCATAACCCACGCATAGGGGTACAACCCGATTTCACCCGATGAAAAGAAACCATCCTTGCAAACTGATCACGTTTTGGTGTAACCACTATTTAAGTTATTTTCGGGGTCTTGGCCACTTTTATTTTTGATTTTTTGCCCTTATTTGGTATTTTTGTTTCTAATGGGGTAGAAAACCTCTTCTCATGACTTGAATTTGAATTTCAGATTAGGGTCCATCTGAATCTTGACCACATTCATCACTTGATTTGGTTAAAAAATTGTATATAGGCTACTCTGGGGTAGAGAAGAATCTTACAGATAATTGTCCACATATGCATTTATTTAAGTATAGTCTTTATATTAGTGTACCCCCAAGTCCACTTTCCCAACCAATGTGTGGTCAGAAAAGAACATTTTTTAACCCCCAATAGAATATTGGTTGGGAACGTAGATTTGGAATGTACGTCCATAAAATCCGAAATCTCAAATAAAATCCGAAATTTATGGCAAAAACATGAAAAAAATAAATACGAATATTAGAAAGTAGCACGGGACCGAACATTTGGTATTCGTCATTGAATTATACTATGATGAAAAATATGGACTTCATGGGGTCTCCAACTCACAAATTAAGTGACAAAAAATTAATTCCCATCTTACGGCATATATATTACAATTATCTTTGACTATTCTGAAATCATTCTTCCCTCAATTATGAGGTGGACAAAACTAAATACCACGTAATAAACGTTGGAGATACGAATTGCAATTTGCATCTCATTTGAATCAAATTAAGTCCTATGGCTGAAAAATAAGAAATAAGATCATAAGGCTATTTAAAATATTTAAAACCGACAGTAGGTGGACAACTATTATAATTTTTGCCATGAATATTTATTTCTATTTAGAAATTACTGTGGAATCATTAGTTATAATAAAAATTGCACCGCTTATGTAAGTCAGATCTGTGATTTATTATGCTTTAAAAAATATGCATTAACGACTAAAAGTACGGGCCGGCAACGCGGACCGGGCCAGCTAGTTTAATAAAAAATACAATAATTTGAAATTATTTAAAATTTGGATGCAAAATAAAATTGCACAATTTTGTGATACAACTGAACTATCCTACTATTTTAGACTCCATTTCGTGGAATAACCCCGAAATTCCATTACTGTTTCGCGGGTATTTTCCAATATAAGAATTTTGTTAAAAAAATAAACAAAGCAAACTGTTGCATATTTAAAAGTCTATTTGACACTATAAGACTCCAGCACAGAGTTGCATTTTTCTAGTTTCTTTGAAGTTGACTTATCTTTTCTACTGAGCCATGGTCAAAAGTTGTCTTATGTAGGCCAAGGTAGATCTACTAGGCAGTCGTATCAGCCCAGCTGACGGCACCATTAAATGTCACAACAAGTTGTTGTAATGCTGAATTCGCCAAGCCCCTTTCATGGTTGTGAAAGGGGGAATGAGCACCAGTTGATTCACAATACGTGTTTGCACGTTCCATTCATTATGTTTGTTAGGTAGACATTGGTATGCATTATATTTCGTTTAATTAATTTCCTCTGCGCTTCTTTAAAATATAAAAATTTTCCGACCAAGAAAACCAAAATGTGGCAATAAACTTAGTAGTTTTCGTACATTGGACCCTCTATAAATTTCTTGTCGTGTGACACCAAAATTAGTTGTCAGATGGGCTTTCTGGCCGACCTTATATAGGCCTTGCCCTGCCTTGCTCATTTTACACTAATTTGATTCGTTTCAACTTTCAAAACAAGATGTACAATTTAATATAGAATGTCAAATTGAAAAAAAAAAATAATGCGATATAAAAAAAGGTTTTTGTTTTTTTCGATTTTATCCATTTTTGCGGCAGTGTCTGAGAAGAGATTCCTGGACATGGATTCACAGTATAACTACATTAATATTCAAAAGAAGTAGGTCTTCAATTAAATTAATTATTGTCCTTTTGTATTGCATATATAAATTATACACGTTAATTAATAATAATAATAATAATAATAATAATAATAATAATAATAATAATAATAATAATAATAATAATAATAATAATAATAATAATAATAATAATAATAATAATAATAATAATAATAATAATAATAATAATAATAATAATAATAATAATAATAATAATAATAATAATAATAATAATAATAATAATAATAATAATAATATAATAATAATAATAATAATAATAATAATAATAATAATAATAATAATAATAATAATAATAATAATAATAATAATAATAATAATAATAATAATAATAATAATAATAATAATAATAATAATAATAATAATAATAATAATAATAATAATAATAATAATAATAATAATAATAATAATAATAATAATAATAATAATAATAATAATAATAATATAATAATAATAATAATAATAATAATAATAATAATAATAATAATAATAATAATAATAATAATAATAATAATAATAATAATAATAATAATAATAATAATAATAATAATAATAATAATAATAATAATAATAATAATAATAATAATAATAATAATAATAATAATAATAATAATAATAATAATAATAATAATAATAATAATAATAATAATAATAATAATAATAATAATAATAATAATAATAATAATAATAATAATAATAATAATAATAATAATAATAATAATAATAATAATAATAATAATAATAATAATATATGTAAGAATAAACCTTTACGATACAATCGGGAAAAATCTGTTTACACATTCACGTGTACCGTCACTCATCGGTACCACTTTCGTATTCCTTTGTGGATGATCCCTGGGTACTGAGGTCTTCTAATAGCTTGCTTCCAAGCTCCGCTATTCAATCAGAATTCTTAAGTCTCATTTTTAAAGTTTAGTAATTCCTCCAGTTCAGATAGGAGGACTAACCAATGAGTGATACATTGAACTTATTATTTAAAGTAAGATATTTATTGTATAAACGTCGAACGAGGCGTTCGGAAATTTTTCAGCAGAAGGAAAATCAACGATTTGAGTACCCATACTTACGTATTGATATAAAGTTTTAGGATGTTGAGGTGGTCAATACCTTCAGCATAGTTTGTATTTATTCTAGTGTTTGTGATATATGGAATCTGGTCAAACTAAATCTGCTTCGTTTTCGTGTGATTTTTGATTTATTTTCCTAACTTCATTACGGGTTCCAGGGGAACGATTAGATCTACTGTTCCGCCGCATTGAGAATGCCACAAATTTTCACTTTTATGTAGAAAAGACCAAGCTAATGTTCTGTTTACTTTTTACTTTAAAAG